ATAATTAATATGAAAATAATTGACATGATTTAATAATTATTGTCAATAATTAATTAATATTAATGTATGATGTATAATTAATAATTAAATTTCAATTTATATCAATTAATATTTTTTAATACTAGAAGGATACTCGCACAATGCAGCGAGATACATCTCGATTTTAATGTTTCGATTTTTTATGTCTCAGTCGATGTTATGATATGGTTTTATGTGATTTTGAGTTGGGTTGGGTTCAAATAATGGTAACTCAATATCAACTCAATACCTACTGTTTGAAAATTTTACAACTCGATTAGATATTGGGTTGCTTCGGGTTGAGTTATTTCGCGTTGGGTTGGGTTGGGTTGGTCGGGTTTTTGAGCACCCCTAGTCGATGGTGTTCGACGGTGATTCAGATCGGTGGTAGTCGTCGGTGGTTGACACTGGTTCAAACCGGTGGTGGTCCGTGGTGCTTTAGTAGTGCCGGATGTGGTTCAGATCGGCGGTGGCCAGCGGTGATTCAGATCGGTAATAGTTGGTGATGGTTCAAATCGATGGTGGTCCGTGGTGGTTCAGATGGCGATGGTCGACAGTGGTTCAATTCGATGGTGGTCCATAGTGGTTCAGATGACGGTGATCGACGGTGGTTCAGATCGACGGTGGATCAAATCGGCGGTGATTCAGATCAGGGGTGGCTGGCGGTGGTTCAAATCTATAGTCGTCGGCGGTGGTTCAGATCATCAGTGGTTTGGAGCAGTGGTGGTTGGCGGTAATTCAAATCCGTGGTAATCGGTGGTGGTTCAGATAGTGATGGTCAGGGGTGGTTTAGATCGACGGTAGTCGAAGGTCATCGACAATGGTCATGTTGAGGTTCATGATATTAAGGTATATTAGGTTAAGAGCATATTTGGTATTACGAAAATAGAGAATTCTATTCCATCAAAATATCACGTAGTTGCTAAGGAATGTTAAATTTCTTTATTTGTGGAATTTGTAGAATTTTAAAGAATCATTTCGTGAAAAAGATTGAACCAAACAATAGAATGAAATTTAGTCAATAAAATTCAATATCCCAATTCCATCAGATTCCTTCAGATTCTGCGAACCAAACGCCCCCTAAGAATCCAATCGGTCAATTGTAGTTTGAGAATTAGAAAAATAGCCATGGATAGAAATGGGCACTTGGATGGGCTTGATGGATCCAACAAAATAAAAACCGGTCAATGATATCATTTAAGACCGGATTGCTGATCATTTTTTAGACAAGATTTTTGAGTCCTATTGGATTCAGACTGATCTTTTTCAGGCCACATAAAGACTGATTCAGTTTTTTAAAAAATTTCCCCATTAAATCGATTAATTTCCCTTTTCTAATAGACCAGACCAAAAAACCCAAAACAAACGGATGAGACTTGAGTTTCCTGGTTACGGTCTCTTTTTGGACCCCTTTAACCAGTATTTAATAAGACCGAGTTTTTTTAGATATCAATCCATTTACAACTACTTAGAAACCTTTAAATTATTCACAAGTTTTCAATCAAGCAATCGTGTTTATTTACACTAAATTAGACAACAATTACAAAAAAAATAATAACACATTTATTTTATATTTATTTGGTTCGTCAATTAAAAATATATACACTTTAAAATCTTTAACTAAATAAACTCGTAAACTTTGAATAAAAAAAATGCAAAAAATACTTTTCATCCCACTAATGGTGGCTAGGAAGAAAAGTAAGGAGGCAAAGGGTGATAAAAGGGTAGCTTTGGAATCAAATTTGATAATTTTAAATGAATAAATATATAAATATATCATTAATAAAATCAACAATAAAAAAAACACTCACCTTTATAAATTCACCAATGAATTTGACGAGCATCTGTTTTTTGAATATTTACAAGATCATGGCTCGTAGCTTTATGCGAATGTGCACTGAATGAAGTAATGAACAAGTTTACAAATGGAGTTTGGGAGTTATGAATTGGAATTTGGGAAGTGAGTTTTC